ACTGGACCAATAAACAACATCCTTATCAATGGAGAAATGATTGAAGTTATCAAAGACTTCATTTTGCTCGTATCAACCATCAACACTCATGAAACCAGCAGTCAAGAAGTCAAACAATGTATTGCATTGGGTAAATCTGCTGCACAAGTTTTTTTTTAAGTGTTGAAGAGCAAAGATGTCAGTTTGAGGATTAAGGTACGCCTGACTCAAGCCATGGTATTTTCAATAACCTCATACGCATGCAGAAGTTGGATAGTGAATAGGAAGACTGTAGGAGAACTGATGCATTTGAGTTATGGAGTTAGAGGAGAATATTAAAAGTACCATGGCCTGCCAAAAGAACAAACAAATCTGTGTTGATAGAAGTACAACCAGAGTGCTCCTTGGAAGCCAGGATGGCCAAACTTTGTCTATCATACTTTGGACATATTACCAGGATGGACCAGTCCCTGGAGAAGTATATCATACTTGGTAAAATGGAGCATCAGAGAAAAAAAAGAAGACCCCCCAACAAGATGGATTGGCACAGTGGCAGCAGCAAGGGCCTCAGGTGTTGCAACGATTGTGAGGTTGCCCCAGGACCAGGCAATGTTTTGTTCTGTTGTGCATAGGGTCTCTATGGGTCAGTACTGACTCAATGTTACCTATCAACAATAACAGCTAAGTTCAAGGTTGGCAGTTCAAACCAACCAGTCACTTCTCAAAAACCCTATATGGGGCTGCTATGACTTGGGATCAAGTCCACAGCAGTTAACATCAATAACAACAAATAGATATTAAGTATTTCCAGTGAAAATTTAGCAAGGACAATGGATGAAATCAATTCCTGTTTTATTGAGGGAGCAAAAATGCTAAATTATTGGTGTAAATTTTTGGATTTGGGACTATTCTTGTGATGATTTGTGATCGTCAAATAATGGCCCTCAAAACTGTCCATGTCCTAGTTTCTGTGAATTTGTTACCTTACATGTAACAGAAGGACATTTGCAGGTATGATTAAGTTACAAGTTTTGAGAAGGGGAGATTATTTTAGATTATCCAGGCGGGCCCAGGGTCCTTAAAAGAGGTAGGTGGAAGAGTCAGTGGGAGAGAAAGTGATACAAAAAAGGAAGCAGAAATAGCAAGAACAACATGCTGCCTTTAAGGTGGAATAAGGCATGCAGGCAGCTTCTAGAAACTGGACTAGGCAAGAAAACTGATTCTCCCCTGGAGTCTCCAGAAGGAGTTCAACCCTGCTGACATCTTGATGTCAGCCCAATGAACCCATTTTAGATGTAGGACCTCCAGAACTACAAGATAGTCAATTTGTGCTCTTTTAAGTCACAGAGTTTGTGGTAGTTTACTGTAACTGCAATAGGAAACTAATACATCCTCTCCAAAAACATCCACAAGAATGAAAAGCATCATTGTTGCTTCCTTATTTTTTTTTCTCCTTTAAAAATTTATTTGTTGTGGTGGTATAGTGAATTACTTGATATGTCTCTTTTAGCCATAGTCTTAGTAAGTGCCACCAAATGATTGAATGGGACCATGCAAATAGTATGCACAAAGCCCTAATGTGGGAAGAAGTTTTGCTATTCCATTGGGTCTAAATGAGTCAGCTCAGAAGCAAGTGGAGGCTATCACTATCAAGAAAGAAGAGCCAGGAATGGAGCGCATTCTTTGGACCCTGAGATCCCTCCACAATGAGCCTCCTCATTCTAGGAATCATAGGACTGTGGACCAGAGACATGGTGCAGAAGTAGTGGCAGCAGAGGTACCAGCACCAAGAGCCGAAGACAGCAGCAGACTTCCTGGTCCACAAAGTGAAAACACGGAGTGCCTTCAGGCAGGAGGTTCCATTGTGGAATAGAGTGCCTCCAGGCACTTAATCGGGAGAGATGAATTCGCTGACTCACAGAGCTAGAATTTAGGGCTTTGGGCTGAGGTTTGTGGCAGAGTAAAGTGTCTTTGGGGTATTTTATCAGCAGTACTAAAGGAGCTTTGTAACACGTGAGCAAGCAGGTCAGAGGCCATGTGGCTGTGTAGGTGAGGGACCGAGGACCAGAGAGATCCATAGCTGTGGGCATGGCTGAGAAGAGGTACTCTTGGCCAGAAGAGCTGTATTCTAAATATTTTTTTAATTCTAAATTGTGCCCTGTTAACTTCTCTAATAAACCCCCTAATCATAAATATTATCTGTGAATTCTGTGTGGTCATTGCAATGAATTCTTGATCCCAGTAGAAAAGCAAAAAGTGCTGTGGGAGACGGTTGATATCAGAATTGGCAAAGGATCAAGGAGAGTGGGGGCAGGTCTGACCTCCATCTCAGAGGAACTGCCCTGGATGGATGAGTTTGGTTCTCCTTTCCCCTTGTGAAGCCAATGGAGGTCATGCATGGCTTCCATGTCATTTTACAGTTAGGCATGCTTTTAATATAATGTGATTATTCATAATCATAGATGATTGCTCTGGGTGGCCTGCCCGGTCATTTATCATCCTTTCCATATATATATATAATTTATTTATTTATTTCCTGAATGTTTTAGCGTGGTTTAGGTGAAAGCTCACAAAGCTAATTTGTTTCCTATTCAACAATGTACACAGAGATTGTTTCATGATATTGGTTACAATCAGTATATCGGCACTCTTTTCATTCCCACACTCAACTCCCTGTTTCCTTTCTATGTTTCTTGATCTAGCTAGATCAATATCAGGATCTTGATTACTAGTACTTCAACTAAAGTGGCATAAAACAAGACAAACTGCTTGGGACAATTGAGCAGTCAACTTAATATCTTCATAGAGAAAACTAACTTGTGTGTACTTGTTTTTTGTTGATGTTTTTGTCTCTTTCATTAGGGTGTGAGCTGTGTGAGGATTAGGAAAAAATACCAGCCTTATTCATCTTTTATATTTTGGTATCTGGTACTGAGAACTATTTGTTGATAAAATGAATGAATCAAACATTTTAGTAGATTTATATCTAGACTTTTAATCTGTTACAACTTTTTTTCAACAAACTATGTTACTACACAGCATTCTTACAGATATGGGTTTAAACATATATATTTTTTTGTTTCACTGTTTTCCTGATTATAACTAACATTATTTGTCTATAAATTTCATCATTAAGTGAATTACATGTTTCTGAACACAGTAAGCATGATAGGTGATTACTATGTATTGACCTAAAATCTAAATGAGTGTGAGGATGACTGGTCTTTTCATGCCTAGAAACCTCATTTCTCAGAGTTCTCAAAGTCAGTAACCAGCCTTATGACCTTTTCATAATTCTCCGGTTCTTTCTTCGTTTCTCCTCTCAATTTGCAGACAAACTCATGGAGGCTCAAACTTTCCTCATTAGAGGCATTTCTTTGAGATTTCCTTAAAGCCAATTTCTCCAAAGCACTGATACTTTTATCCTTTAAAGCAGGACCTTTTCCTATTTTTATTGCTTTTAAATAATAGGTAATTGCACAGACTTCATTTTTCATTTGCAATTCCTGAAATTTGGCATAGTGAAAATGTAGCTTTTGCTTTTTTAATTCGTCTTGTGGATTGATTTCTAATGCTTTTTGAAAAGTTTCTTCAGTTTTTCTGTAGTCACCTGCTTCTATATACATACTTGCCAGGTGAATATAAGCAATATCAAATGTGGGCTTTTGTTTCACTGCAAATTCCAAATGATATATGGCTGATTTTATTTTCTTGTCATAGTCTCTGTCTTGTCCTCTAGGCTTCCTGTTTGTACCGTCCTTCATTTGGAACACTTTCTGCCTATAGCAAAGACCTATCTGGTGATGCAACAAGGCAGAGTCAGGCATTGCCCTCAAGGCCATTTGTAAGAACTCTAAGGCTTTATCCAGAGAGCCTTGTTTTCGGTAAAACTTGCCTGCGTATCGTAAGACATAGTTCTGGAAGGATGTGCTGGCCAGTGCTTCTTTAATATACTTCTCTCCTTCAGCTTCTTGTCCTAGTTCCTGAAGCTTCAGGGCAAAGAGAGCTTTGATATATGCATTTTCTGGATTTAGCCTCAGGGCCTGCTTTAGAGGTTGCAGAGAAAGCCCTGTTTCCAGTAAGCTCATGCCTTCTAGGCGATAGAGAGTAATTGCATACCCAGCGCAGGATTCAGGGTTTTTAGGATCCACTTCAAGAGCCTTTTCAAAGCAGACTTTGGCCCGTTCATAATTTTGTCCTCCACACTTAAGCAAGGCCCACCCTTCCTCACAGTCTATCTCAGGACATTCTATCGTGTAGCCGGAGGTGTCTGAAAACTTCTTGCAAGTGTTCTTCACCTTGTTCAGGTAAGTCTGGGCTTCTGCCAGCTTTCCCATGTGGTAATATACCCAGGCATAGTTGCCCCAGGTAACCAGACTTCTCAAATCAGATTGGTCCGCGTGTTTTTGCTGGATTAATTTTTCAGCCCTTTTCAAACTCTCCAGGCTTTCTTCATTCTGGCCTTCCAGGTATCTCACATAGGCCAGTAAATTGTGCATTCCCACATTGTATTTGATGTCTAGGAACTCAATCTCCTCAAAGATCCTGCTTTCTAAATCATGTATTTCATTGTCTTCAATCAGCAACGTCCATGTAAATTGGCATCTCAACTTCTCCAGCCGTTCCTTAATCCAACGCTGATCAGTATTCTCACTATGAAAACCAAAGATTTTCTTTGTTAGGTGAAGAACAGCTAGTAGATGGAAGTTGGACAAGATGTATCATATTCTAAACCTTATAAGGAGCATACCTGCTTCAATATTGTTATGCATCCCCATATTTCTAAAATCTGCATGGATTTAGAGTGCAGTCTGCTTGACTTCATAGTCTGGCTCCAGCACTTGCTAACCAAGTAACTTCTCTGTGCTTCGAAGACACCAATGGAAAATGAGAATAATAGTACTTAACAAATTGGGTTTACTGAGGATAAGACTATATATGTAAAACACTTTGCTCATATTATGTGCTATATCTGTTATTATTAATTTAATTGGGAAAGAGATCAGTTAGATATGCAGAATGTAAGAAGCATTATTGACCTCAGGGCCTTAGCCTCTTAATTATACAGCAAATTAAAACCATTGATTAAAGCAAAGTGGACCTCTGTAGTTCTATAATATCTTTGCATCTTCCTATAAATCTATAATTCAAAATAAAAAGTTAAGAAAAGATCAAATATTTTCTTTTTTGGATGGCATTCTTTATTAAGACCATTCTACTCGATGATCTTAATTAAGATGTGTTCTTAACTGTTGTTACTACTGGTAGTTTCGAACCGCTGACCTTAAGGTTCGCAGCCCGATTCGTAACCACTATGCTACCAGAGCTCCTTTAGGTGTTGTCAAATAGGTTCTCACAAATAGTAACTCTATGCACAACAGATGAACTAAGCACCGTATAGTCCTCTATCACCCTCACAATTGTTATGTTTCAGCCCACTGTTGCAACCTACTCGGTCGAGCCATCTCCTTGAGGGTCTTCCTCTTACGCCGTCCCTCCACTTTGATGTTGTTGTTGGTAGGTGCAGAGTCCGTTATGATTCATAATGACCTTATACGCAACAGAACGAAACACTGTCCAGTCCAGTGACAACTTCACAATTGCTGTTACACTTCAGTCCATTGCTGCTGCCACTGTGCCAATATATCTGTTTGGGTGGGGGTCTTCCCTTTTTTGATGACCCTCCATTTTACCAAGCATGATGTTGCTTTCTAGGAACTGGTCCCTCATGATAACATGTCTGAATTATGGAGAACAGGTGTGGCACTCTAGGATAATCACTGGACCACAAGGTCTGTTTGAACCAAACAACTAGCAGGTCAAACCTACCAGCCACTATTCAGAAATCCTATTCAGGGTCTCTATGAGTTGGAACCCACTGACAGCATTTCACAACAACAACAACAACAATAACATGAGAGACAAAGTGTTGTCTTCCTGACTTCAAAGGAGCATTCTGGCTGTACTTCTTCCAACACAGATTTGTTCTCTGGTAGTCCCTGGTACTTTTAATATTGTTTTCTGACACCATAACTCAAATGCATCAATGCTTCTATGATCTTCCTGATTCATTATTCAACTTTCAAATGCATCAGAGGCTACTGAAAATATCATGGTTTGGGGCAGGCACACCTTAGTCCTCAAACTGACATCTTTGTTCTTGAACACTTTAAAGAAGTCTTGTGCAGCAAATTTGCCTAATATAGTATGTTGTTTGATTTCTTGACTTCTGCTTCTATGAGTGTTGACAGTGGATCCAAGCAAAATGAAGTCTTTGACAACTTTAATCTTTTCTCCATTTATCGTGATGTTATCTGTTGGTACAGTGGTGAGGATTTTTGTTTTCTTATCACTGAGGTGTAATCTATACTGGAGGCTGTGGTCTTTGGTCATCAGTAAGTATTTCATGTCTTCTTTGCTTTCAGCGAGCAAGGTTGTATCATCTGCACATCTCAGGGTGTTAATTAATCTTCTTCCGATCCTGATGCCACATTCTTCTTCATGTAACCCAGCTTTTCAGATTATTTGCTCCGCATGTAAATTGAACAAGTTTAGTGAAAGAATACAAACCTGGCACACACCTTTCCTGGTTTTAGACCATTCAATGCCTCTTTGTTCTGTTCAAACAACTGCCTCTTGGTCTATATACTGGTTTCTCATGAGCACAATTGAGTATTCTGAGATACTCATACTTTGTAATGTTGTCCATAACTTGTCATGATCCACACATTCAAAAGCCTTTGTGTAGTCAATAAAGCAGAGATAAACATCTTTCTGGTATTCTCTATTTGCAGCTAAGATCCATCTGACATCAGCAGTGATATCTCTCATTCCAGGTCCTTATATGAATCTGGCTTGATCCTCTGGCAGTTCCCCATCAAAGTACTGTTGTAGTCACTTTTGAATTATCTTTATCAAAATTTTACTTGCATGCAATATTAATGATATTGTCTGATGATTCTTCATGTCTCTTTGGAATGGGCACAAATATGGATCTCTTCCAGGTATCTGTCTTCCAGAATTCTTGGTTTAGAATGAGTGAGTGTCTCCAGTGCTGCATAAGTCTGTTGAAAATTTCAATTTGTATTCTATCAATTCCTGGATCTTTGTTCTTTGCCAGTGCCTTCAGAGCACCTTGGACTTCTTGTTTCAGTATCATTGGCTCTTGCTTATAGGCTACTTCTTGAAGCTGTTGAATATTGACCATTTCCTTTTGGTGCAGTGACTCTGTGTATTCCTTCCATCTTCTTTTGGTGCTTTCTACATCATTTAATATTTTCCCATACAGTCCTTCAATATTGCAAGTGCAGGCTTAAAATTTTTCTTCAGTTCCCTCAGCTTGAGAAATGCTGAGCATGTTCTTCCCTTTTGGTTTTCTACCTCCAGAACTTTGCACATTTCTTTATAATATTTGACTTTGTCTTCTCAAGCTGCTATTTGAAATAATCTGTTCAATCTTTTACTTCCTCTGTCTTCCATTTGCTTTAACATCTCTACACTGGAGAAAAAGTTTCAGAGTCTCTTCTGGCATCCATTTTGGACTTTTCCTTCTTTCTTGTCTTCTTAATGACTTTTTACTTTCTTCCTGTATGATGCTCTTGATGTCATCCCACAACTCTTTTGGTCTTTGGCCATTTGTGTCTAATGCATCTGTTCATCAGATGATCTCTAAATTCAGGTGGGACTTGTTAAAGGTCATATTTTGGCCCTCGTGGACTTGTTTTAATTTTCATTAGCTTTAGCTGGACTTGTATATATGTATTTGATATTCTGTTCCACAGTCTGCCCTTGGCTTTGTTTGGTTGATGATATGGAGCTTTTCCAGCTTGATGGACTGCTCTTGTCACATCCTTTGACTAGAAAGAACAGGCCTCAGGGGGACTTTTATGTATGTGCTTGATTGTGTTTCTAGTTGCCGATTTCCCAGCACTTAGTCTAAAATATATGAGGCAAAAAGAAAGTCTGCAAAGCTTACTGCCATGTTATCCCGTAAGTGCTAAGTTTCCTAACTGATTTGCCTTTTTGCCTCCACCATTCAGAGTATTCTTAAGTTTGCTATATATTGAATGTATAGGGGTTTTATCTCTACTTATTAGGAAGAATAGGAAAATAATATGTCTCCTCCATTTTTTCTGGACATGGAAGTCTATTGTCAAGTATTAATATGTATCATCTGACTTCTTTCACTGTAATGATGTCAAGAGAAATTGAAATTAACAATTGTACTTGAAGGTGTGTGTGTGTTTGCATGCATGTGTGTTTTAGGTGTGGTTGGTAAGTACCTTCAAGTTGGTGTTTACTCACAGCAACCCCGCATAGGGTTTCCAAGGAGCAGCTGGTGTGTTAGAACTGCTGCCCTTGTGGTTTGCTGTCCAGTGCTGATCCTACCGTACCTGTGGGGGGAAATGTGCTGGTTCTTCATTTTCTGTGGTTTCAACTTGTTCTGTAGATGAGATGATGTATTTTATTAGGAAGAGCACTTCCTATTTCTCACTCTTGATACTGAATTCCAGAATATAGAGTCAGGCTTAAATCCAAGTCCAAATGAGAGCTGGATTAGGGGATGTAGCAATGCATCTGATCTGCCATCTCATCTGGAGATTATCCAGTTAGTCTTTGGAGACTTGGAGACTGTTAGATAAGCACTGGATTGACAACCATGAGGAACAAGGTTCAAATCTACCAAATGATCCTAGGGATGTTATGAGTCAGAACATACTGAACGGTGTTTAACAACAAGCCATTAGGAAGTGCAAAAATAGAATAGAGGGTTTGTAGGAAAGTTAACAGGTTACAATTCAGGATCAGAAATGATGAAGATACAGTTCTTCAGTCAGGACAGCCTCTTTTCTGGAAGAAGTGCAGCCAGAGTGCTCCTTGGAGGCCAAGATGGCCAAACTTCGTCTCTCACACTTCAGACATATTGTCAGGAGGGACCAGTAACTAGAGAAGGATATCATGTTTGGTAAGGTGGAAGGACAGAGAAAGATAGGAAGACCCCCAACGAGATGGATCAGCCAAGTGGCAGCATCGATGAACTCAAGTGTGGCAACAGTAGTGAGGTTGGTCCAGGATCAGGCAGTGTTTTATTCTGCTGGTCATAAGGTCGCTATGAGTCGGTACTGACTCAATGGCACTTAACAACAACAACAAGGAGTCCTGGTGTGACACTGTGGGATAAGCACTGAACTGCTAACCGTAAATTCATGGTTCAAAGTCACCAGCCACTCCTCATAAACCCTGTACAGGTTGCTATGAGTCGGAACCAACTTGACGACCCATAACAACAACAAAAACAACCCAGTCATTTGGTGGGAATTACAAAGACTATGGCTAGAAGAGTCATATTAAGTAATTCAAAGCACTGTAGGGGAGACCAGCAAAATAAAAAAAAAAATTAAAAAAAGCAAAGATGAGGGAAGACAGCTACAAGCCACATGAAGATTACCCTGGAGCTCAAAGAGACATTGTGCCAGAGCCAACAGAGAGAACGCCTTCCCCTAGGATCAGCACCCTGACATCTGTCTTCTAGTCTCCTAAACTGTGAGAAAACAAATATGCTTGTTAAAGCCAATCCCATCCCCAAAAGAAACAAAAGCACCAAACTGAACAACAATAACAAAATATTTATTGCAGCATTTTATATGTTACCAACAAGTTGGAAATAGCAATAGGGAATAGTTAAGTAAATTATGGAACATCCTTGCCCTTGAATATTATATAACCATAAGATTATATGCATTAGATCAAAACTGGTTGAGTCTGAGGGAATTTTCTAATACACAATTAAGCTTTAGAGAGCTATACAGAAGTGTTCAAATATGACTCCATTTTTATTATGTAAAGACCCAAATAATTTATATATATAAATTATATATGTATGTATATATACATGTATGTATGTATATATGTTAATATGTGTCTATGTATGTATAGATACATGCATACATATTCTGAAGTCCTGATGTGTGTGTGTGTATATATATATATATATATATATATACACACACATACATACATATCTGAAGTCCTGATGCATATATGTTAATATTTATGTATGTGTATATGTGTGTGTATATATGTATATATATATATACATATATACACACACACATGCATACATATTCTGAAGTCCTGGTATGGCGCTGGCGCTGTGGGCTAACGCGTCAGACTGCAAAGTTGTTTGAACTACAAAATCTGTGGTTCAAGCTCACCAGCTTCTCCTTGGAAATCCTATGCAGGGTTGCTATGGATCAGAATCGACTTGACGGCACTTAACAACAACAATATACATACACATACACACACACACACATATATATTTGTTTATGATTGTCTAACATGAATAAATTAATCTAAGACATAAACCAGGTAGTTAGCATTGGGCACTATGGTAGGCAGAATAATGGCCCCTCAAAATGCCCACATACTAATCTCCATGAGCAGAGAATGAAGGTGGCCTCCA